TGACTTCCATTCTGATGGGAACCGCCCAGTACGCAGAGAATGGTTGAATAGGGAACAAAGACTTGGCGTGCAATGGGACCGGCTGCCCTTCAGGAATGGTGTACTTTGCCACAAATGGGAAAATGACATAGGAGATCAGATAACCAACCAGGTTGCTTTTCCCAAGACTTTCCGACAGACTCCCTTTGCAGCTCATCATAGTCACACAACTGCAAGTCATCGTGGTATACGAAAGACCATAAGTGCTATTCAGTCTCATTATTATTGGCTAGGACTTACATCAGCAGTTCCTGGATTAGTCACCAGTTGCCATGCCTCTGGATCAAAGATAAAGTGTGGGAAGAAATGTTGTGCTCCTTTAAAACAGTACGTGGTAGGAGCTCCCATGGAACAGATTGCAATTGACATTCTTGGTCCACTGCCAGAAACTCTGCAGAAGAACAAGTTTATACAGGTGGTTAGTGACTATTTCACTAAATGGACAATGCCAAACCAAGACGCGGCTACTGTTGCTGAGAAGTTAGTGAGCAACTCCATTTGTCACTTTAGCATACCCCATGAACTTCATAGTGACCAAGGAACTAACTTTGAATCAAAGGTGTTTGCTGAAATTTGCAAGGTGTTAGACATTGAGAAATTTCACACTACCCCACTGCACCCCCAATCCAATGGACAGGTGGAGCGTTTCAACAGTACTCTCATTAAAATGTTGCATGGAGAGATTAAGGAAGACCAAAAGGACTGGGATCTTCAGCTTCCAGCTTGCATGATGACCTATCGAGATGCTGTTCATGAGTCAACAGGGGTTACGCCTGATCTCTTACTGTTGGGTAGAGAGCTGGAAGCTCCTTTGGATGCCATAACTGAGGCACCTCCCAATGCACCACCACTCAAAATGGACTACACCCAAGCTGTTCAAAAGAGATTGACCAGTGCGCATGATTTGGCTAGACTCCAGCTGAACAAGGCAGCCATATGCCAGAAGCGGAACCATAAGTTTGGCTACACAATGTTTGGAGAAAGAAAAGGAGAAATGCCAAACTTGACTGCCCTTGGAAGAGACCTTATCTGGTAATATCAGTGCTGTCTGATATATTGTACCGAATCCAGAAGAGCAGGAAGGCCAAGCTGAAGGTCGTTTATTTAGACTGATTAAAGCCTTACCTGGGACCCCCACTGGAAAGATGGAACCTAAAAGGCAGACGCAGTTATCAAAACCCGAGAGAGGAGGACAGACATCAGATATAGATTCTCCAGTGTTTGTCAAAGATGGACAGTCAGCTCTGGTTAATGAGAGAGAGGGAGTTGAGCTCGTTGCAGCAGAGTCGATAGTGGGAGAAGAGGATGTTGCTCCTAGACCTCAGAATGCTGATTGCATTGGGGAAGATAACAGTGTCCGGCCTGATGATGTGAGGGAACCTGAACCTCGCGCAGAATTTTCAGCTTCTAGAAGTTTACACATTTAAATGTTGTTTGTTTCCGAGAACTGTGGACATTGTCATGTCTATTAAGGAACAGTCGTTAGAGACTCAGTCTGTTGTGTCAAATTATACTTTTTAGTTCACTCAGAAGTGATTTGCACAATGGACCAGCACTGGGAGAGTGCTCATTAAAGGGGGGAGTAGTGCAGCGTTGGGCGATTGCCCACTGGTACCCCCCTTAGTAGCTTGTAAGTCACCTGATGTATGGTGATATAACCATGTGCTTAGTTGAGTTGTTGAACTGAACTGTATATCTTGTAGATCTGTGATTAAAAGTCTTAACGCCGTGTTTTATTGCGGAATTGTGGCATTACAACATGAACTCTTTGCTCTCTCTCATAGAAAAGGAAGTAAACAAGCTCCTAAGGAGAGGCAATGTTTCCATTCTTTATTTGAACTTTGGCAAACAAACAATAGAAATAAAACAGCAGACAACATTTCTTGAATTGAACTAGGGCTGATTCCAGAAGATACGCAGTCACAGTAGTGTTCTTTGCACTAAAAAAGGGAGAACTGACATTACCTAAAATATAGCTGCTATCTCCACTCAAAACGAGAGTGTGGTATCACTCAAAAACTAAAAAAGTACTTGTAGATCTAACCTCAAGAACAGCAGTTATCAAGCTAGCGATCCTAGAACGCATGCATCTAACATGTTGTGTTCTACCACAAGGAAAAGCACTCAACAGTCACATGTAATCGCGTACGAAATGTATCTCTCAGCTAACCCATAATCGGCACTGATGCCACTAATCTGCACATGCGTTTCGAGCAAATTGCTTTGGTTCCTAAGAGAATACCACCACAAGGATAGCAAGAGATTTGCGGAAACATATCTTTAGTTTTGTGATGTTATGAAAAAGTAGTGTATGTATGACACGTTTTGTGTAGTGCACACAGGTGCCTTCCACACCCTAACCCCCTACTGCAAGGCTGATTGATTAATTGAAATTAATTAATTATACACACATTAAAGTTTACACCTCATTGTGTTAGTGTTTTAGAGCCTTAATACATTAGTGCCTTGGTGCTCAGTGTATTAGCGGATAGCAGCCCCTAAACCACCCCAGTAGTGCACTCTGCACTAAAAAGGACTGTTCCATGTTTCTTTATCCTTACATTAGTAGGTTTTATTCAACTTACTGGTCATTAAGGTAGTCCATAAGTTAAGAAAATGACATGAAAGTCAGTTTTAATGTATTGAAGCTGTTGAGCCCAACACTGAACTGAACTCCATTGCTTTGTTTCACTTATTTGTTCGTAACACCTTAGTTTTCTCAATCGATTATGTACTCATTCAGCAAACCCAATTTGTGCCGAGATTCTAATTAGACAGCTGTGTACGCATCATCAGTCTTCATTAACAGAGATCGCAAACTTGACAGAGAGAGCGTATTTTATCTTGGCAAACTTCAGGCATATCACAGATATCCTTCCTTAACTATCAGAAGTAATATTATGTACTTATTGACTGAGTGGGAGGGCCAGACAGGAAAATATTTAGCTCAAGGTACGGACGTCCTGACTGAGAGCCAAATATATTCCCATCCGGCCCAACTTTACTCAGTCAATAAGCATTTTATCATATGACCACTAAGTGCTGAAATTGTGAAAATTGTTTGAACCTAAATAGGATGCGATTACATAACATCAGACCACCACGTACCAACCAACTACGGAAAAGATTCTACAATAAAAACTTGTCATTTATTTCTTCGTGTCGAACAAGAAACTCACGATTCATCGAAAAACATGACTCACTTTCTCATTTTTGTTTTTCAATGTAAGTCCACAATTATAGTTCATGCTAAAAAGCCACCAGAAAGTTGACATAAAGCTGTCAAAAATATGTCAAACCCATCAAAAACTCAGCGAGTGACAAAAGTTCGCTTCACGCTTCACTGAAATTGTTCACAAATCTTCTTCATCTGAAGACTCAAGAAAATGCCGGTGTCGTTTCAAGCTATCTGTCAACCTCTTGATTCTCTTGAACAAGGGAGAACCAGCAACTGAATATTAATGACACCGATGTTGGCTTCCGCAAACAGTGCCTGGGTTTGCTGACTTTCCTGGCTTTGCTGTGCAGTGGAAATTACATGTAAACACAAGCAAGTTTTATTATCTTGATGAACTGTACGGTAATGAACTTGTGTTCGTACTCAGTTTTGTCTCTTCAAACAACACTGATGTAGAAACTGCAGAGCAATTTATCATACTGTACAAAAGGTATGTTTGTGATTTCTCTGGTTTAACCAATTTCTTCCAGAAACTCTGGAAACTTGGAGAAAACATTTATATCATACTTTGTTTTCATCCCATTGTTTTCTTGCTTCTGACCCACGATGAATTCTTTGATGCTTTTCACTGAAAGAAGTTTCGCCTCAAGACTGTTTGCTTATTCCAAAGGTTAATTATCGGACAGTTCATCTAGAAAAGTTGTTTTCTTGACTGTCTGTTTGCTTGTTGTTGGCTTGTGAGAAAGTTGTGAACTTCTTCATTTGTGGGGTGTGTTGACTTTATTTCTGTTCTTTTGGAGTGAATTGGCGACTGAAGTAGTCGTGCATCGAACAGTTCGCCTAGATCGTAAAATTCACTTTCAGAATGTTCACTTTCATCACCCATTTGGAAGAGAACAAAATTTTGCAGCAACAATTACCTCACATTGATTTTGCCGTACGCCTTTCTAGTAGGGCTGTCCGCATTTTTCCAGCCCTACCACTTCGACATGTACAGCCCTCATACAGGACCTTGTTTCTTATGGTTTTCCAAGGAAATTGCGAACAGGGCCATACAGGTCATAAAATAAATTCAGATATTGATCATCAGTCCATGTATAGGGTGGTCAGTAGGTTTAAGAATTGATTCAACCGGCACTTGGAGCAAATCTGCTTCTAACTGGCTGCATAGAATAAATTTCTTTTCGGGACATATTTTCATTATAATTCAGGTTTTTTGTTTGAAGAAGTAACTTGTCAGCAATAAGGAATTACTGCTGCATTGCTGATACTGCACACATCATACTGGGAGCTGAGCAGTAGCTGAAACAAACTAGGAAATGTTCCTTTGAACCATGGATGGAATTCTTTATAGCTAAACAGAGTCCATAGGTCAAACCAATGAAAAAGGCTGTATCATAGAAAAACCTGATGCTATGTAATGTACACCATAACATAGAAGTGGAATTGACTGTTTTACCCCTCAAGAAGGTCCATAACTCGACATCATTACACATACTATTATAACATGGTTAAGTAAAGGCCATCCAATGGCGACAACACAAACAATGCAAAGATATGTTCATGTTACTAAGTTGCAACATTGTTGCAATATTGAATTCCTGATAAGTGATGTCACAATTTGTTACAGCATTCCACGGTATCAAGCATTTTGCAGCTAGACCTATAAAACTTTTATAAAATGTCTTGAATGCAGATTGGAAACAGGCAGATTAACCTGAAAATAATTTGATCTACAATAGGGACTTGCCTTTCAGTCACACAAACAGGGTTTTCGTTAATATTTGAAATAGCAGGAGAGTAGTGTAAAGTAACAGGAGAATGATTTTTTAAAGAGCGAAGCTCTTTCATGGAACGAGCGAAGCCTTTGAAATTTAGCTGGAGAATTCTACGTAGTAGCCGGAGAATTCTCCGATCCCCAATGCCTAATGAACACCCTGCACAAAGTCTGAATTGAATGGGAATAGTACTGTTTCTGTTTATCTACAGAGACTAAGACAAAATGCTTACTTAAAAAAGTGTGCGTCTCCCAGAGTCTTGCAAAAACAGGGGTGGGTGCATGTTCTTATGATATGGTAAGGTTTTGGGTCATTTTTAACTTGAAAAATATTTATATTTTCCAAGTTGTAGTGGTGGGATGATTTCACTCCATCGCTCCTTCACTGGGTCATTTCCTGTTAGACATTTGGAACCCGGTAGGGGAACTCCCATATGAAAAGGTCAGGGATGCTTGTCAGAAAATTTGAATTTAACTCTCAAAGAAGACTACTGTGGTCGTTGCTCAAGCTTCATTAGACCCCTAAAAGATACCACTTAAAATGGAACAGGTTCAATAACTAGCCACTGTTCAAGAAAGGATCCTGTGCTCACCTGTAGACCTGACTCTCATACTCGAGAGATCAGCAGAAAAAAAATGAGAGCATTAATATTTTTAAACAAAGATCACAAGGTAAACTATTCATTTTAATTTTAATGCAACTTATTTAGTAGTATTAGTACTGAAAAGCCCTTATGGGGAGTGCTAATAAAATTTGTATTGTATTGTAGCGTTTCTTTTATTTTTTTGCTTCGAGTGCACCCTTAAGGATACTTAGACAGCTGAGAATGGTGACATTTTGTCATCAATACCACAAGTGAGACCAGAACCCTTGATTTGTACCCGAGACGACGAGCATGCCCAACCTCTTCATATAGGAGTGTCCCTGCGGGTTTCGAACATTGTGCTGTCCAAGGCTGTTTTACAGTTGATTGCACCGTGTCAAGTTAGTTATTCTTTGAATTTCTGACGCAAGTACTCAATATCTTACCGCAGAAATGATCTATATTGAATAGATTTTTGCACGAACGTTTTTATATATAGAAGCTTACTATATAAATAGCTCATTTCCCAAAGGTGTCCACTTATACAGGTTTAAACATACTCAATTGCCAAAAACTGAGGTGATATTACAAATCAGAATTGATGAGCAGAATGAATTTTTGAATTATGATTCAAGCCTTGATTAAAAGTTTTGGATGATCAACAGACAAGAGAATTAAGGAGAATTTGAACGATGTGTTTCACTATTATTTATACAGTATTATAAATAAATACTTCAAAGATGAACATGGACACGGTGAAATGATTTGAACAAAATAGTTGATAAATAGAAAAAAAAGACATTAAACAAGACTGGGAGTTCAGCAGTCACTAATATCATCTTGGAAAGGGAAGAAAAAAACAAAGAAGTTATTACAACATGGGGTATTCGTATTTGGTAAACCATCCAAGCAGGAACCCTGCCGAACAGGGCTTTTAAGCCCTGTTGTGCTGTCCTTGTGGTATTATGACTCTGTGTTGGTAAATTTCTTTATTTCTAAGATCTCTCAAAAGGTAACAAAGAAAGAAAAAAATCACTGACATCACCCGGGAAAATAAAGAATGAAAAAAATTAGAATGAAAATGAGAATGCTGATCAGACAAGAGGCTGTACTTTCTTTATAATCGCCTCAGACAAGGATCACAAATAACTTCATGAATGTTTTAAACAGTGTTACATCTCCACATGCATTCTCTTACTGTTGCATTTTGCCAGTGGGCTTTAGCTTTAACTTAACCTACTGATTAAAACCTCAAGTCACACACATCAAAATTGTCACTGTTTACAGACGATCCATTTTCCAAGTTGAGTGGCTCATAGCCACTTTGATTGTGATCCAAAAGGACTTGGAGACAATATTACGATATTACAAATACTACTGTACTACAATGTACACTTGCAACATTACTGAGAGGAAATTATACCATATGACATGCTATATGTGTGAAGCATTTCAACCCTACTTAAAAGGGTAACCTTTAACTGGTCATGGTAGTCTCACACTTTTGCCAGGTATCTGCACAGACCCCTGGGAAAAGAAAGACTAACAGGTCAATAAGTAAGGAATAGGGAGTAATATGCAATTTTCACATTAAATAACTTGTTTTTAACTTACCCTTGGATTGGGGCACTTGCAGAAAGCTGCAAGGTATCAATCAATCTAACTTGTCCAATGCGCATTAACAATGGACCATGAACCACCTCAAATATAAGGGCTCCCATGTCTAAACAAAAAGATTTTGTACCATAAGAAAACACCATACAGAAAGTAATCAAAAAGGAAAATATAGATAGTAACAGTAACAGTAACAGTAAATTTTATTGCTGGGTATATTATAGGTTTATGAGCCCTAGTAGCTCACAGTTAGCAAAGCTATTCTATTATTACTTTGAGAGTATTATCTACTTTAATTGAAAGAGAGAATAAGAGAAAAAAAAAGAAATTTAAAAAAAAATTGAGAAAATAAACAAAATTAAACCAAAACATTTTACATAATACATGAAATAGAAATAATAAATATATACATAAATTATGATAAACACATTTATTTAATATATGGAATTGACTCTTAGTTTTAGCACTATGTTACCAACTTAAAAAATGTCCTAGACAAACGAGTCTGGTTGAAAAAACCCAACACGATTCACCACCTGGCCTAAACAATTTACAGCGCAAGAACTATTGATTTGGCAAGCTGAGCATTATCAACTGACCCCTTAAAATTCCTCATATTTGATTCCATAATACCTCAGCCACTGTACCCCAGAAGTCTGTTTAATAAGAGAGGCAAAGCAGAAGACACTCATATCTAACAAACAAAGTGGTTCGTCATTTGCACAACACTCACCTTGTAAATAGGCATTAAATTGTCTTGGACCACTGCACACAGCATATCGTACACAAGTCAATCTTGGATAATGTCTTGTCTGATCAGCTGCTCTGTCATCTAAGGGTCTACATAGTGTACAACAACATAAAATGCATACACTGTACAGAGTTTACAAAACAAGCCATAAATGAAATTTTACCCTTTCAGAAGCAAAATTATATGGGCTTAACCTATTGACTCCTCAAAAATCATTTAAATAAGTTATAAAAAAATTTCTTGCCTTTTTTCTGAAGAGATTGTGTCTGAACTGTTAAAAACTCTATTCAAAGATGGAGACTAACATTCCTTTTCAGTCAGAGGGAAGTATTTCAACAATTTCGTTCAGATCATGGATATAAAGCAAAGTTATCTTAGCGTTTTTTCTCACTAGATGTCTTTTTCTATATATAGGAGAGAGAGAGAGAGAGAGAGAGAGAGAGAGAGAGAGAGAGAGAGAGAGCCAGATGTATTGGCACTTTTACAACTTAGATGTGGCACTTTTGTGACATTTTGTGGCACATTGGTAACCCCACTTGGCACTTTACTAACTAGTGGCACTTATGTAGCGTGCCACATGGCACTTTAGTAACGTTAAAGTGACAAGGCGAGGTAAAAGGGCTTGATTTTGGTGAGCTCCGAGTCCGCTTGACTTTCTCTCCTCCTTTCCCAAGATTTATCTGCGTTGTGGCACATCTCGTTTGAAATGCAAGCAGCTTGTCTCGCAGATTTAACAGTGTTCGGTAACAGTTCCTGCACAGGTGCTTAGGAAAACAATCATCCTCCTGTACTCTCACTTTTGCAAAATCGCTTATCAAGATCTGTAATTTTACGGTTTTTCCTTAATTCGAAAAAAAATTGTGAACCTCTGATTGGTATTTGTTGTGTTACCACAAAGACGCCCCAAGTGTTTGTCAGATGTTGCAAATTCCCCTGACTGCGCCATATTTGTAACATTTGACACATTCAAGTTTGCCGCCAAAAACCGCGTAAATGTTCAAAGAAGGGATTGGACAGGAGTCAAATTGAGCAGCCAATCAAGAAAAAGAAATTTTTTCACTTGGCCAGATCTCGCCTTCNTTGTTTCCACCATTGATCGCTGGGCTGATATTTCTGCTACTTGAAAACTCAAATAACTCTGATCGACGCAAAAAGCGCAGTTTGCTTCTTTCTTAACCGGCCCGATTTTGTCACTTGGAGTTGAAGGGGAACTTGACTTTTCTTTTTCATCATGGAACAACGCTTTCCTGGACAAATTTTGCATGTTAACGCGACTCTTTGTTTGCCTTGGCACACAACAAGGTGAGGTAAAAGGGCTTGATTTTGGTGAGCTCCGAGTCCACTTGACTTTCTCTCCTCCTTTCCCAAGATTTATCTGCATTGTGGCACATCTCGTTTGAAATGGAAGCAGCTTGTCTTGCAGATTTAACAGTGTTCAGTAACAGTTCCTGCACAGGTGCTTAGGAAAACAATTGTCCTCCTGTACTCTCACTTTTGCAAAATCGCTTATCAAGCGCTGTAATTTTACGGTTTTTCTGTAATCCCAAAAAATCGTGAACCTCTGGTCGGTATTTGTTGTGTTGCCGCAAAGACGGCACAATTTTTTTCAAATGTTGCAAATACCCCTGACTGCGCTACATTTGTAACATTGACACATTCAAGTTTGCCACGGAAAACCACGTAAATGTTCAAAGAAGGGATTGGACAGGAGTCAAATTGAGCAGCCAATCAAGAAAAAGAAATTTTCTTACTTGGCCAGATCTCGCCTTCAGCTTCGTCCACAAGAGATCTGGGAACAAGATTAGGCCGCAAGCCTTCACGTGGAAGCTTAAAAGGTGCTAAATGGCCTGTCTGATACTGACTGTCGAAATTACAAGAAGATTGTTGACAGACTGGAGCTTCGGTTTGGTGTTGAAAAACAATGAGAGTTGCACCAGGTGCATCTGCATAGCCATCACCAACAGGAAAATAGAAGTGTTCAAGCTCTTGCTAGAGATATCCAGTCTACGTCCAGTCTAGCTTATCAGGATTTGTCTCCTGACACTCAGGACAGATTTGCCGTCCAGCATTTTATTCGTACCATCAAAGATCAAGACCACAGGCTCTGATCACGCAGAGATAAACCACGCACCACGACTGTCATTGGCTTGTGATCTTGAAGCATTTTGTCCCTTGGATGGGGATTGGCAAGGAAGCTCTCTGAAGGTTCACTCTGTTGATGTGGTTGAAAGGGAGCCTGATTTACTTAAAGCTCACATGGAGATGTTACATTCTGACCGTCAAGCGCAACAAAAACGTCAGAAGACTCAGCAAGATGCTCTTCAACAATTAGTTCAGCAGACACAGCAGCTCTCCCAGTCAATGTCTCTGAACACCTCTGAAAACCAGCAACACTCACCTGCTCCATGTTATTTCAGTCAAAATTTTCCATGCTGGGATTGCAAAGAATTTGGCTGTTACCATCGTAACTACCCAGCACGCAAGTCACCTTACAACAACAACAAACTGGGCTCGGGAAATAGCAGCAGGGTGTTACCCAAGGGCCAGGGGGATGCCTGAGTGAAAGTGATGTTGGCCCCACTACTGGACATGACCTGAACAATGCTATTCCACAGCCACATGGCTTGTCCTGATGTGCCCATGGAAAGGTCACAAGTCAGTAATAAATTACAAGGCCTTTATATGCCAGGCTTTATTGGTGGAACTTGTGTTATGTTATGTGTCAAGTTCAGTTTAAGTTCAGCCAATTGAACAACAACAGTTTATTTCTACTACTGTAAACAACTAAAAGAATTTACAAGATTATAATTATAAATAA